TGCGTTTTCACCATCCTGCTCACCGTCATCCTCGCCGTCGCTGTTTCTGGACCAACACCAGTGCCAGTCCCCGCAGAGCCGCTTCCAGACATGATCTCCATCAACGGCGCCTGCCATTTTGCGCTCACCAGCTCCTCTGCATCAGCACAGCCTCCAGGACGGCCGCCAGGCGCTCCCGGAAGGCAGCCCGATGGATGGTTTACAACCGTCCTCACAGGTCCGTCCATCGCCGGCGCCGAGACCCGGCGCAGCTCAACTTCAACTTCAAATCGCCCACCCTGCCCCAGCCCAAAACAAAGATGCCGGCGATACGGACCATCTCGTGTTGGGGGGGTGTGCTTCGGTCGAGTCTACCGGTCGCCGCCCGACTCCGTGGTGTGGTGGTCTCGTCGAGTTCTGGCCCGCGAGCGTCCTACAGCGCGAGCGTCCTACAGCAGTCGTCTCATGCGATGAGATGGTCGCGGAGCGGTCGCCAGACCTTGGTAGTGCCTGCATCGCGTGCGCCGGCCCTCGGTGAGCCCTCCTGAGGCCTCTGACGCCGCCAGCCGAGGGACGGCAGCCGTTAGGATGGTGCCCTCGCAGCTCACCGCACACCGGCGCGGCGGGGGCGAGGCGAGTCTCATCGGTTCCCCCCTACAGCGGGAGCAGCCGGCCGGCATCCTGCCCGCCACGGCGGCGGCAAGCTGCGACTCGAGGCTGAGCAGTTGAGGCGACTTTTTGCTCGCTCGACTCTCTTGGGAACTCAAAGTGGTCGCTCTTCATGAAGCGGGCCGCGCTGGCTGCGGCGTCGGAGGCTGCAGCCGTTGCCGCCGCTCGCGCTCCCGTGCAAGCGTGCGGAGGTCGTCGTTGGTGATGCCCCGCTTGTTGCCGGCCGGAGCCGGGTCGTCCTGTGTCAGGTCGACGACCGAACTCGACATGAGACGGCGCGAACCCTCCTCACACCTCAGCACCGGCGGTGTTCGCTCGAGAGCGCGTCGCGCGCGCAAGCTGGGGAGGGGAAAAGAATTTTGTGCTCCGTGAGGTTACTGATGCACTCCAAGTCAGTGTGCCCGTGATAGTGAGAGACTGCCAGTGAGAAGCCGGAGGAAGGTCGCTAGTCGAGAGAGATCGCCAGTGGAATAGGGAGTCCACCGTGCTGCGAACCTGTCGCTGTCCCTTTTGTCAGGAGCCAGGAGAACTAGGAGAGCGCAACCAGTAGGAGGCCCGCGCCTGCCCCCGTGCCGCCGGGTGCAACTTTGTCCTATACGAGAGGGGAATCCCTGGGACCCTGTCGTGTGTGGGTGAACCCTGCCCAGCCCCCCTCCGTGTCGCGATGCGCTCCCCGCTCCCGTTCCCCTGTGTCCCTGATTGTCCTTACAAGATCACTGCTCGCGCAGGTGGGGACCCTGTCCTTCTCCCACCCCTTGTTTGGTGGGTCCGTTTTATTTATTTATTTATTTGCACTCCAAGTGCTCCAAGTACAACCAAACTCCCTCGCACGACACTAGGCACGGGACCGTGAGGGGAAAAGAAAACTCGTTACATCGAGCTCCTCGCCGAGGAGCCCATCCCTCCCTTGGGTTGTCCGTTTTCTTTCTTTCTTGAGGAGCACCTCGAGCTTGCGGTTGAGGAGGACAAGGCGTTGGCAACCCGGTTTGCCCACCACGCAAACCGACGGTTCTCGGACAAGGTGGCGCGGGGCACCAACGATGTGATAAAAAAATGGATCATTTTAAGAAGGAAATAGTAGGAACGAGAAGGTTGGTGTGTGTGAAAAATTAAAATTTTTTGGTAAAATACGCCCTTTATAGGCGGGTGCGACGCCAGCCTCTCTCATCTCAAGCAGCCGGGGAATTAGATCAATTGGCAGATCGCCCGCTTAGCATGCGGGAGGTACGGGGATCGAAGCCCCGATTCTCCATTCAACATCTTTTGTGATTTTTGCGCACTTTAATAATCTCTTCTCTCTCCGTTCACCCGATGTCTTCTCGCATCCAGAGAGAGCACATCCATGTGGCTCGTGTGTTTATAAATCCTTCTTTCTCTTGTTTTTGTCGTGTGTGAGAGATGCGCCTGCTGTGCAATTTCCGGGCCTATGCCTCGGAAGAAGTGTGTGAGAGATGCGCCTGCTGCGCAATTTCCGGGCCTATGCCTCGGATTCGGCTATGTTCGTAAGACGCGCCGCCTAATTCTTTTTTATCATGGCGAGACATAGCCCACGCGTGCTAGGCCACTGCCCTGGCGGCCAACCGACCCACAACCTGCTCGCTCGCAGGCGCGCGGCCTCTCGCGGGAGCTGTCACAGCAGAAGAATGTCAAAAAGACCCAGGCGGGCAACAAGGGCAACCAGGAGGGGCTGACGGCGACGCAGCGTGCCGAGCGCGACGCCAAGGTCCTGCAGGAGAAGGCGGCGGCAAAGGCGGCTTCAAAGGCGGCGGCGCTCGCGGAGGGTGGCGCAGCCGCGGAGAAGGTGGGACGGGCTCCCTCTCGCTGCTGCAGCGCCTCGGCTCCACGCTCGCCTCTCTCGGTGCCTATAGGCCAAGGCGGACGAGGCGCGGAAGCAGGCCCAGCGCGACGCCAAGAAGGAGCGGGCGTACGCAAACACGCAGGTGGCCAAGCAGAACGCAAAGCTGGGCGTCGCCGACCCCGCGGCGCGCGACTTCAAGGTTGGCGGTGACAAGGACGGCAAGCCGCCAAAGGACCCAAACAGGCCCAAGCTGTCCAAGGAGGAGAAGATCAAGCGGGCGGCGGAGGCGGCGATGAAGGCGGCGGCGGCGGGGTCGGCGCCCAAGAAGGGCAAGGACAAGGCGGAGCCCGACCCTCCGGCCGCCGCTGCCGACGAGCCGGAGCCAGGGCCGGAGCCGGCCGACGACGACGAGGAGGAGGGCGGCGCGGAGGAGGGCGAGGTTGACCCTGCGGAGAGGGCGGCGGCGGTGGCGGCGGAGGAGGCGGCGGCACGGGCGCAGCGCGAGGCGGGCGGTCTCGTCCTCAAGCGGCTGCGCGGCGAACCGGGCGCCGCTCGCCACGCCGCGCCGCTTGCACGACCCCCTGGCCGCCCCAGAACACCCCACCCTCACGACCCACGCCACCGGCACCCACCCCACACCCACCCCACAGCCCTCCCCCTCCCCTCCGCCACAGGCCTCTGCGCAGCACTCGCCTGGTCGCCCGGCGAGGCGCGGCGCCTCTCCTTCCACCAGTTCTGCACGTTTGGCGCCCCGGACGCCGCCGCCGCGGCGAGCGACGGCGCGCCGCTTCGCCTGAGAGCGCCTAAGAGCGTCTAAGAGCACCAGAGATAGAGCCGCCGCCCCGCCAGAGGCTGCCCCCCCCCCCCCCCCCTCCCTCTACCAAAACGAAGACACACACACCCTCCTTCCACTCTTGGCGGGGCCTGGTAGCAGCGGCAAGCGTGGTAGTAGCAGCAAGCAGCTCCTTTCCCACCGCGCGCCTCCTCTCGGCGACCCAAGGCGTGCTCTACTACGAGGTCCTAACCCTCACCCTCACCCTCACCCTCACCCTCACCCTCACCCTCACCCTCACCCTCACCCTCACCCTCACCCTCACCCTCACCCTCACCCTCACCCTCACCCTCACCCTCACCCTCACCCCAGGCGTCCTCTACTACGAGCTCGTCGTCGGCGAGGGCCTCGAGAACCCGCAGGTTGGCTTCGCGACGGACGGCTTCGAGGCGAGATCCGCCGAGATCAGACGAGACGCGCCAAGATGAGCCGAGCCGAGCCGACGCGCCGAGCCGAGCCGACGCGCCGAGCCGAGCCGAGCCGAGCCGACGCGCCGAGACGAGCCGCTGGCTGAGTCCGCGACGGACCGTGCCCCCCTCCCCCCCCCTCCCCCTCCCTCCGCCGACGCCGCTCCTCCTGCGCCTCCTTTGGGCCTGCGGTGCGCGCCTAAGCCCCACCCTGCGCCTGCCTGGCTCACGCCGCGTGCCCTCGCGCAGTCGGGGCGCGACTATTACGACGGCGACGGCGTGGGCGACTGCTCTCGCTCTCGTGTGTCACCGACACTTGACAGCTCCCTGTCAGAGCCGTGGCGCCCTCTCCTTTCTAGGCGACTGCTCGCACTCGTGGGGCATCGACGGCACGCGCTGCGCTCGCTGGCACGAGGGGGACGAGGAGTACGACTTCGAGTGGGCGGCGGGTGAGGAGACGCGCGGCGAGATGCGCCGAGATGCGCCGAGATGCGCCGAGATGCGCCGAGATGCGCCGAGATGCGCCGAGTCCCCCCTCCCGACCCTCCCTCCCTCCCTCCCCTCTCGCAGGCGACGTCATCGGGCTTGCCGCCAACCGCGCCACCGGCCACTTCGCAGTCAGCCGCAACGGCGCGTGGGGCGGCGGCGGCGCGGGCGTGCTCTTCTCGGACGCGGGCTTGCGCTGCGAGGGCGGCGTCTTCCCCGTCGTGTCGGCCGAGGCGGGCTCCTTCGAGGTGCGCCTCCCCGACGCGGCGAGCGGCTTTGCGCACTCGCCCCCGCCCGTGGACTTTTGGGGCGAGTGAGTCGCGCCGCAGAGGAGGTTGGTGCGTGCTCGTACGCTGCTCCGGCTCACGGGCCCCAACACCCTTCGCGACGAGGCGGGAGGCCGTCACAGGCTGCCTCTCGGCGCGCCCGATCCCAGTCTTGCGCCAGAGATGCGGGCTGCCAGAGAGAGAGTAGAGAGCGCCACAGTAGTGGTGCGTGCGAGCGCGAGCCAGACAGCGAACGCGGGCGGAGAGATATTTCGTAGGAGAGCTTGTGCAGGGGATACTCTATCGTCGACGGGCGAGCGGGGTAGTCGCGTGCCACGTGTGGAGTCAGAGATCTCAGAGGCGGGAGGACAGGCTCAAGAGACCGCAGACGCGGAGAGGGCGAGAGCGGGCACGCACCGGCTAGACGAGAGTGTACCGCTAGACCTGAGTGCTAGAGATGGCCGGCCGCGGGAGAGATCGCGACACGGATGAGCCCACTCCACTTTTGTCACAGCTGATCCTCAGCTCACGGATCGGTCACGCGGCCCCGATCCCGCTACCCGCTACCCGCTTCCGCCCTGCGGGCCTGCTGCTGCGCATGTGTTGTGAGAGAAAACGCTAAACCCATTACCGTAATGTGCGTAATCCGTAAACGGCGGCGTCGCGGTCGGCGCCTCGGCGCGCCTCGCGCGACCCGGCGAGGGGGTCTTGGCGCGCCACGCCGGCCAACTAGTATAGCCAACGTGAGAAGAGTACAGTAACGGTACGCAGTACGATCGCATCCCTCAGTAGACACAAGGAAATCACAACCTCACATTCTGATCCCACAGGTGCGTTGGCCCACGACGGCCATTGCCAAAGGCAGCATGAACGCGTGACTCGGCCTCGCGCGCACGAGCGTCGGCCTCTGACGCCTCTGCATTGACAGTTGCAGCAAAGATCCACATGTCGTCGTCAGGCACCGGCTTGATGGGCTTCAGAACGTTGAATATCCTGTGGGCGTCCTCGCCGGGGCGGCAGTCGACCGAGGAGGGCAGCTTGAGCTTCTGAACGGAGGACGCAGCGGCGGCAAGCGGCGGCTTCTTGACAACAGGCTGCGGGGGGACAATGTCGGGCGCGATGATCTCGAGCCAGGCGCGCACCTCCTTGTTGGCGAGCATGGGGCCCAGCATGCTCCGTGGCACGGAGGGGACGTGCGCCTGGCTGCGTTTGCCAAGGAGAACAGGCGCCTAATTTCATCCTTGATTCGAGACCTTCTGTGGGGTGGATCTCTCTCTCTCTCTCTCTCTCTCTCTCTCTCTCTCTCTCTCTCTCTCTCTCTCTCTCTCTCTCTCTCTCTCACTCACTCACTCACTCTCACTCTCTCACTCCCCCCCCACCCCCCCCCCCCTTCACACACGTCGGCGAGGAGCGTGCTCGAGCGCTGCTGCACGAGCGTCCCGTCACCAGGTTGTCGTGCTCTGGCCTCTGGCGCGACCCTCTCCTCTTGCCATGCGAGTCGCAAAAGAGCGCGTGTGCCTGAGGCGGTGGTATCGAGAGTACCTGCGGCGCCGGGGAGCGAGGATAGCTCCTGTGTGCCGGATTTTATTGTTGTTGTTGTGTCGGCGAGAGCGAGTGCGCATCTCAGGTGCCATTGCATACGGGGCAGCCGCCAGCCGGCGGCGCCTGGCGCGCCTGTGCGCCGGAGTCGGCGGGCAAGCACAGAGAGCACAAGGTGGTACCACCTTGAGGGACCCGAAAGGGAGTTGGACTGGGCCTTTAACATATTTACATTGAGCTCAAAATCGCAGAGCGGCCACTCTTTGGATCGCTGGTCGAGCGACCCGGGGGATGCCCCGCGCGCCTGACCCAGGCGCGAGAAACGAATCTGCGAGGCGCGGCCGCTCATGCGGCCCGATGGGGAGGAGTGGGGCGGACTACGGGGATCGGCTACTTACACCCCGCCCTTCCCTGCAGCGAGCCCCCCTCCAACCCACCCGCGCTAGGTCTCGGGGGACGCAGGGGTCACACCCGACGACCTCGGGAACTAGCCGGGGCAGTCGTAGAAGGGGCAACTCCGTGCACTGACGGTCGGCCGCCAGAAAACACGCCTGCGTGGATCGCGTCACACCAATCCTCGCTACCCAAGTGGGGACCCCGCAATTCCCTTCCCCCCTCGGAGGGCCGGACTGAGGCGTCGAGGGCCCCGCTCTTTCCCTCGCATAGCGGCCACTCTTCGGGTCGCTGGTCGAGCGACCCGGGGGATGCCCCGCGCGCCTGACCCAGCCTCTCGCCGCCGCCTCGCGCCGCCCCGCCGTGGCCACCTCCGCGACGTGCTGCCGGAAGGCCTCGAAGCACTCGGCGTGGCCCTTCTCTTTGGCCAGCTGCAGCGCGGACTTGCCGTCCTCAGAGCGCAGCTTCGTATCCGCGCCCGCCCGCAGCAGGCGGAGCACGACGGCGGGGTGGCCTTTGAAGGCGGCGTACATCAGCGCGGTGACGCCGTTGCGGTTCTGCAGATTCATGTTTCATCTCCGCGCCGCGCTACAACTTCAACCTGCTGCTCCACGAGACGTTCGGCGGCGGCTGCTCGCCCACCGCCGTTCTCAAGCTGCGCCGCCTCGCGCGCAAAGTCGCGCGCGGCAGCGTTGACCGCACGGCCTACTCGCCCAAGTACTCGCTCTCTTTTATGTCCCACCATGCAGAGCGCATCTCTCTCTCTTTGTGCGAGGCGTGAACCGCGCCATTCGCTCTCACCTGGCAACCCTGTCTGCACGTCTCGCGCGCGCGTGAACAGGGCTCCAGGCCCCAAATTACGTGTGAGTGTTAGAGTTGTTTGGTATTGCTAAAAATCTCTCTCTATATCTGTGTTAGTTAGTGCGCCAGTCAGTCAGTGCGCGCCAGTCCCATGGGTCGTCGCGTCGCAAGGCATTCCCGAGATTACGGTCGTCATCCTGAATGGCAGGACAAAGTGAGACTCAAGGAACACGCGGAAAGATAAACAGGAAACAGGCAACCCCAGGGTGGAACCGCTGCGTTTTTCTTGTAAGGCTAAAGAATGAATGCGGAAGGACCTAGTTCCCCCTTCGCATCTATCGCCAAGCCCTCCGACACCTCAAAACTCGGTCGCCGTCATGCTCTCGCTCGTCTCCTCGTCGCTGTCCTTCTCCTCCTCGCCCACGGAGCCGTGCACGTACAAGACGTACCCAAAGTGCGAACGCCCACTCGCGTCCACATCACTGCCACTCTGCGGTGGCGCCCGCGCGCAGCGTTTGCGCGGCCTCGAATGATCCTGACCCCCCCCCCCCCACCCTGCACGACCCCGGACGCCCTGGCACCGTCGCCATCTCTGCGGCAGCCCACAAGCCACACATTCACCACTGCCACCGCTCACACACCTGCCGCGCCGCTCACTGTCCGCGACTCCCTCTACCGTCCGCGACTCCTCATCCGCGCGCCGCTCCTACCCCACCCCGCAGCAAAGTGGCCGTGGGCGTCAACGAGGGGGGCGTCTATTATTGCAACGGCCCGGACTACGTGGAGTCGTGCAAGAAGGTCTGCCTCGCCACCGAGGGCTGCCTCTCTTTCGAGACCAACAAGCCGCCGATGGACATGCTGTTTGTGGCGGACGGCGGTGCCCCAGGGAACTGGCGTGCTCACACGATGCCGGTTTCCCTAATTCACACCCCCAGCCCACCCGTGCCCTCACACGCTTGCTCCTCTCTTCATCCAGCTGGATCGAGAAAGTCGCCTACGAGGACTTCGACCCCCGCCTCGTGCCCGCGGTCGGTACCGGGGGATGCCACGTCTTTGCCGCGTGCTCGGTGCATGCCACCGCCCTGCCTGCGACGCTCACTCTCCCGCTGTCTCACCTCCTGCTCGTGCGCGTGGCGCAGGACACCCACGAGCTCGACAGCGCCTGCCCCACCCCCGGCTCGGCCAACCCCATGCCGACCGAGTGCTTCGCCCTCCCAGCGTTCCCGTACCCACCGGGGGTCGACCCGACCGTGCACGACGACGTCGTCGAGTTTTGGGCGGGGTGGAACGCGGGCGGTTGCCCTAGCACCCCCGCGTCGGAACCGTTCCGCAACTTGGTGCTCGCCACCCCGACCCTCCGACCCGCCCCAGTCGCACATCTACCCCCTCCCCCCCTCCCCCCCCGCCGCACACCCCTTCGGCATGACCCCCCCCCCCACACACACACACACAGATCGACGAAACCTGCTGCTTCACCAGCCCGGCCATCATCGACGAGCAGCAGTTCGTGTGCACGCGCAACACGACCGACATCTGCATGTCCATGTGAGACCGGCCCCTTCTCCGCTGCCTGCCCTCGAGCTCCTGCAAGCGCGCCTGCCCGCCGCCCCTCGCCTCGGTTCCCCTTCGGCCTCGCACCGAGGGGTGGAGCGCGCGGGCTGAGGTGTGAGGAGGTGGGCGCACAGGCCCGGGGGGCGTGGCATGCGTGGTGTGTACATTTCGCGAGGTTGGAACTGGATCGGTGTGAGACCTGTGTGAGAGGCGTGCAGCACAGCAAGAGTATGAGTCGCACCGATGCGCGATAGCTCGGACCGCCGCGGCGACGCGGCATCTTTCGCGGTCAGCGTGGTCTCGACTGTAGCGTGTGCGGCCCCGAGCCGTGTCGTTCGCCGTTTCTTTGCAAAGTTTGTGCGCATCCGTATAACCATTTTGTTTTCGACAACGCTGAACGGCCTGCGCCTGGCCGTGGCGCTTGGGGCGTGGGCCCGTGTGCGTGCGTGAGGGGCTCAGCTCCCCGGTCCTGGGCGTGAGGTTACTGACCGCACTCCAAGTGCTCCAAGATGGTCTCGTTTGCGGGCGCGCGTGCCGCCAACGAAGATGTCGATGTCGGAGTTGTTGGGGACGGGCGACGCCAGAACGGCGCCTCCTCGTCCTGGTGCTCGACCGCCTTCGGTACCTGTCGACCAGGGTCCCGGCAGGAGCGAGTCGTCGGACGGGTAGAAGAGGATTTTGTTTTTGAGATTTTTACCTGCTCTAGTCGCCTGCACACGAGAAGAGAAGAGCCCAGCCGCGGCGCGGACGTCGCAACTCCAGGGCTAGTGGACTAACGTTAGAACGGTGTTGGCACGTTAACGGCTAACACCACAGCCGCAGAGGTGTTAGAACGTTCTAACACTGCCACTCGGGAGGCGTTGGCACGCTCCGTTAGGCGGGCGGCGGGGCGGGATGGGACCGCGCGATGCGATGTGTGCCTGCCTGCCAGCCTCCGCTCCTAGCCAGGGTGGCGGGCCGTCTAGCCTAGGCTGTCCGCCGCCTCGGCACCGCCCTCGCGCCGAGTGCGTCCAAACTAGGACGCTGTAAGCGGGGTACAGAGTTGGTGTACAGCGCGCTCGTCTCGTTGTGTGCGTGAGTCATCTACCTTGGACCCGCCTGTCTGGGGAGGGTAGGGGCTGTTGCTGCCCTTTGTTTTAGTATGTAAAGAACGAAGTTGGGGTTCCACGGTTAGGATGGAGGTGTCGAACTGGATGGGGGTCAGCCAGGGAGGCTGTTGTGGCGCACCGGACAGCCCCCCAGCACCGTGCCCCACCCAACTGCATCCATGGGAGTCACAAACGGTGCTGTACTCGCGGCTGCAAGCACTCACGACACTCAAACCCACCACCTGCCTCCTGCCCTGTACGAGGAGCCATTTCACCCGTGCAACATCTGCACAGGTGTACCGCCGACGCTCCAGCGCCCGGCCCCTACTAGAGTAGTCTTGTGGGACCCACAAACGACCAATACATCCACTCGCGGCTGCAGCATGTGTCCGGGGGGGGCATCCCCGTGAAGCAGCCAGCAGGTGCCGGACACGGCGTTGGCCGTCTTGGACCGAGATCAGGGCGCAACTGCCTGTCTCATGGGGTTGCACCACCAGCAGCAACAGAGAGATGCAGTGCAGGCGCAGAAGCGCTCGCAGAGCGGCGCGCAGCGCCGCGCACGCCACGCTGCGGACCGTCGGACGAGCGCAGCGTACATCGGCGGCGAGCCGCGTCGCCAGCCGAGCGCGTCGCGAGCATCTGACGCGGCGGGCGGGGTCGGGCAGGTGCGCTTCTCTCTCTGGTGGTGGTGGTGCTGCTGCTGCTGCTGCTGGTGGTGCAGATGCTTAAGCTCAAAAAGAATTAACAACGAAGGCGCTCTCAAAAGAATTTAAACAAACAACTCAAAAAGAAAGAGCCCGGCGCGCAGGGCCTGCTTTTGGATGATGGCGGAGGCGGCAGCTGACGAGGCGCCAGAGAACCCGGCGGCCGACGCCACAGGCGAGGCCGACGACGCGGGCGGCGCCGTGATCGCCCCTCCCGAGCTACCGCCCGAGGCGTGGAGCGCGATCGCCGACGCTGTGCAAGACTTCAAGCAGCGCTGCCTGCTCCGATGCGTTTGCCGCGCCGCGCGCCCGTTGGACGTGTCGATGCCGATCGATCGCGAGAGCAAGTACAGCGTGTATCACACCCGTAAGGGGCTGGGTGACGCCATGGCTGCCGGGATCGCCGCGCTCGTGCCGCTGGCGCGCAACCAGAAGCTGCTCTATCTCGAGCTGTGGGGCAACCACATCGGCCGCACCGGGGCGGCGGCGCTCGGCCTCGCGCTGGAGGCCAACCCTCCCCTCCAGCAGCTCGACCTCCGCGGCAACGCGCTCGGCGACGAGGGCGCGACCGCCCTGAGCCAGGGGCTGCGGCCCAACGCGCGGCTGCAGTGCCTCCGGCTGGACGAGAACGCGATCAGCTGCGCGGGCGCGGGCGCCATCGGCGCGGCGCTCATCTCATCCCAGAGCAGCGGCCTGCGCGGCCTCGGCCTCGGAAAGAACCTGGTCGGCGACGAGGGCGCAGAGCTGCTCTCTGCGGCGCTGGTGCAGTGCCGCGAGCTGGTCGAACTCGAGGCGCCGCCGCTCCAACCCAGCAGCCCCCCCCCCCCCGGCCCGCCCGCCCGCCCGCGTCCTCCCCCGCCGCCCCCGCCCCTCCCGCTCAAAACAGGGCTCGCTCTCCTGCCCCCCGCAGCTTGGCCACAACCCGCGCCTCGGCGACACCGGCGCCGCTCGTTCGGTCATACCGTCTGCGCTTGCC